CCAGCAGTTCGCATCTTGGACAGGACCGTCCCGACGTGCAGGCCTCAGGCGGCCCGGGGTCCCCAGCTGGAGCAACTTCGGGACCTCCAGGTACTTCCAATACCCATCCCCTCGCTTCCCCGCAGGTCTCCCAGGCGCTGGTTCGCTCCTTCAGCTCCACCGCCCGGAACCGCTTTGAGAACCGAGTGGCGGAGAAGCAGAAAATCTTCCAGGTGGGCGGAGCGGGGGCGGCCGCTGGTTCGGCTCCCGAGCCGGGTGGGTGTAGGGATTTTGGGGGATACAGTCTACCGAGTAACCCGCACCCCTTTCTCATCCGACGCCCCAACGCGCAGGCGGACAATGACCTCCCGGTGCATCTGAAAGGCGGGGCAACAGACAGCATCCTGTACCGACTGACCATGGGGCTGTGTCTGGGGGGTGAGTCAGGCCCCGCTCCTCCGAGCTGCAGGGGGGAGGCCGGGGCCCAGGCCGGGTTGGGGAAGGCGCTGAGGTTTAGGGAGAGGGCTGGGGCCTGGCAAAGGGGGTGGGCCCTGAGTGGGCCAGGTTTGGGGAAAGGCTGGAGTATTGGGGTGTAGGGAGAGGGCCGTCCAAGGCGTGGACCTGGGCTCTGAGGAGCAGCTCGTGTCCCAGGACGGGACTGGGCTAGTGCTAAGTCTAGAGCCCAGACTGGAGCTGGGGAGAAAGCTACCAGCCTGGCCCGGATCCACACCGCGGTTCTCCGCCTGGGCCGCGGTTTAGGTCGAGCTGCAGCCTTAGCTGGGGTTCAGGGAGGGGATTAGGATCTCACTCTACGCCGGCCGCCCCTCCCTAGGCACCGTCTACAGCCTGTACTTCCTCAGCTGGGCCTCCTTCCCCCAGAAGAAGTGACCCCAAGAAGCCTGGAGGGCCTCGGGGACTCGAGCAAGCATCAATAAACTACCAGCTTCTTGGGGAGTCTACCCCAGCTCTGGTCTCTGTGTGTGTGGCCCCAAACCCGCCCTCCCACCAGCCAGGGGCCTCGGCCTTATGGGCAGCCCAGTGCCTCCCCCCTGGTTCCCTCGTCCTCGACTCCAGCTCCTCCGATGCTGCTGCCTCTCAACCCTCCCAGAGGAGCCAGGAACCCCAATGGGCACCCCTGGGCTGCCCCTCCAGGTCTGAGGGGGTTCTCCAGTGGACAGTGGGTCCTGGGATGGCAGTGGCTCCCCCGACAGAGGCCCGAGGGTGGGAAGGAAGATCCAGGGCACGCTCCGTGACACGATACAGACAGACACACAGAAGAGGCCAGAGAGACTGACTCAAGGACAGCAGCTGACGGGCAGAGAAAGGAGTGGCCTGGAGACCTCCTCCCAACCAGGGCTCTGCGAGCAGAAGCAGAGACTGCCTGGGCTTCCCAGTCCCAGTCTCAGCCCTGTCCCCCCACCTCCTACCCCCAGGATCTGTAGGGATCTCAGCAAGAACGAGGCTACAGCTCAACCGGAATTTAGTATGGGAAAAAAGACCCAGATGACCAAAGGAGACACACAGATCCAACCCTGGGGACAGACGAGACAGACAAAACCACCCAACCCCACCACGACCCAGACCCCCTCTGCTCTGGAGCGAGCCCAAACCAGCCCTCAACTCAGAGCGGGAGGCAGATGCCACGAAGAGCAGCAATGGGGTGCTTTTATTTCTTCCTGGGCCTGGCGGGCTGAAAGCAGAGCAGGAACAAAGGCACTGGGCACGTGGGACGTGGACCGGGGAGTACGGCTGCCGGGGGGGTAACTGGAACAGGCGTGACAGGGGTGCAGGGACAGGAGGGATTCCTCCAGAACTGAGAAGGCCCTGGGGGTGTGGCAGCAACCCAGGCGCTGGGCTTGACACAGGGTGAACGAGAGGCTTTGGGAGGGGGTGTGAGATATGTGTGCTGAGGCTGACCTTTGGGACAGGGAGTGTGTGAGAGCGGGGGTAACTCGGGCATGGTACGCTGGGGCATGTGGGGCCCTGGCTGCTGACGGAGAAGCTGGTGCCCAGGGCTAGGAGCATGAAGAGGCCTGTGGGTCCCAGGGCCCATGAAGACGTGACCTCTTATCCTGGGGTCCATGGTGACTCCACAGCGGGGCACTGAGGGGGCAGGTCTGGGGTTCCCATTCAGGAATACATAGTCAGCTGCAGCCACTGGGGAGGGGAAGGCACAGCGTGAAGGGCGGGGGACCCAGAAATACCAGACCCCCTTCTCTGCTTTCACCCAGAGGTTGCTGGGAAAACTGGAAGGAAGGACCGAGTGTGGAGCTGGGGCACAGGGCTGGGAAGGGAGCCTCCCAGCCACCAGCACCACCATGTGAGGGGCCTTACCTCCTGGATGTTCACCTGGATTTGCCCAGTACCATCTCTGTCAAGAGATTTGAAGGCACCTGGAGGAGAAGGGACAGGGAGGATTAGCTCTAGGATGATAACATGCTGACATACGGGATGCTGTACAGCTCACACTTTGAGCTCACTCGTGCAAGGCACCGTGTAAAGTGCTTCCTGTGTACTAACTCAATAGAGTCAATCCTCCGAGCTCAGTGTCACTTTAAAATGAGGCACAAAGAAGTCAAGTGACCCACTCCAGGTCACAGAGCAAGGAAGTGACAACGCTGGGATTCCAGCCGAGGCTCTTACCTCGCTGATGACCTTCCTACACTAACTCAAACTCCACCTGTCACACCTTTGCCCAAGCCAAGCCTCCCACTGGCCTCCAAGCTCCATCCCCATCACCTCCAGTTCCAGCCCAGACAGGCGGCTAGAAGGAGGCTCTGCAGGCCCCACCTCCACTTCCTGTCCCTGGAGTCCTGCCCTCAGGCGTCCACACACGGACAGTTATTGACAGCCCCTTGCTGATAACCCCAGTGGCCATCTCTTGGGCCTTCTCTTGTGTGACTTTCGTCCTCACCTGCCCTCTTGTCCACCCCGATCTTTCCTTCAAGTTCCTGGCATCTCACATACCTGCCCCTTCTCCTCTACCCTCACTCTTAACGCTGTTCCCACTTACCACTGCCCGTCCTAGCCCCAGGGTTAAGTCGGCTCCCTCCCCCTCACTTCACACACTCCTCAGTCACTGCCCCCTCAGCCTCGCCCCCCATGCCTCTGCCCCAGCCTCCCTGTGCCCTGCCTAGAGCTCCCCTGGGCTCTCCCACCCCCCATCGGGTCCTGAATTCGGCATTCACAGCCCTCTTTCCTCCTCTACTCTTAAGCTCAGGGATCACACAGGTGTGAGTTCGAATTCTGAACCTGCTACTTCCTAGAGGAGAGGCTGTGGGCAAGCACTTCTGCCTCCCTGAGCCCCAGGTTCTTCCTCCGTAAAACAGGGACACTCATTCCCCCTTCTCGAGCATGCCTTAAGGATGCAGTGCACTGACGCACATAGAAGCCCGTGATCCGGCCCCTGCTCACAGCCCCCAGACCCACGTCCCCATCCCACCCCCTTTTGGCAATCATCTCCTTGAGGTCCTAGGAGGCCAACGCAAGCACAAGCCTCCTTTCCTTCCAGGCCTTTGCAGACTGCTCCCTCTGGCTGGAACCTCTCCTGTCACCCCATCACTCTGCCATGAGCTCCCCCAACTCTGGCCTGTGCTTCCCACATCATAGCTCAGGTCCCTGCCCAGGCTGCCCCATCCCAGCCACAGCCATTCACGGCTATCATCTCTGGTGATTGGTCTCCCATCTCCACTGGACTGTGAGCTCCATGAGGGCAGGACGTCGGGCTGTCTTGGTCACCACAGTGCCCCTAGCACTGCCTCCACCAGGGTGAGGCTTAGGGAAGACCCGGGCCACTGGAGGTTGACCAAACCCCATCTGGGAAGAGCTGGGCGGGACTCACGGAACATGGCATCCAGCCTGACCAGGCAGCTGATGTAGTTGTCAAAATCCATGTTCCCTCCCTCATCTGCGTAGCGTCGGATGATCATGCTGTAGAGATGCTCGTTCAGATGGAAGCCTGAAAATGGTTTAGCCCCTTAGGGATTTCCTACTCCTAAAATCCAGACTCAGGGCAGCTCAGCGGCAGCCGCCCCCCCAGTCCCAGCCCCGGCCCACCACATGCCTGCCAGCCGCACCTGCTGCCTGAAAAGCCCCTGGGAGTTCACGGCCGCAGATGGTCCCTGACCGGTCCACGTCAAACTGTTTATATATGGCCTGTGGGGGCAGAGATGTCCGGGGTCACCTGAGCATCATAGGGCACGGCGGCTCCACGGCTCGGGGGTCTGGGGACGGGGCGCTTCAGAGCATGCCACGCACCTGCCACTTTTTGATGTTGTTCCACAGGTACTTGAACTCCTCGAAGCCCAGCTTGCCTGTGGTGTCGCTCTGGTGGGAGGGTGTTAAGAACAATGTGACGACTGTACCCAGACGCAGGCACTACACGTACCCCTGTGGACTTGACGGCGCCAAGCGCGGAACCTGGGCCGAGCGCCCCGGCTCCCATCCCACCCGGCTCCCGTCCCACCCGTCACATCACCTTGGGTGTGATTTTACTTTTTGTTTGTCCATACATATTTTGGGACCCTCGTGGCACAATGGTTAAGCATTCGGCTGCTAACTAAAAGGTCCGCAGTTCGAATCCACCAGCTGCTCCTTGGAAACCCTATGGGGCAGTTCTCTGTCCTATAAGGTCGCTGTGAGTCAGGATCAACTTGACGGCAACAGGCTTGGTTTTCGTTTCGGGATACGTATCTTACTTTGTGCTTCTAAACAATAAGGACTCTCTTTTTTTAACATAACCATGGGGAATTATACTGAACTCCCAACTACAAATTCCTCACCTGAAAATAGTTGCTAATTCCTCATTTATAAAATTATTGATAGTAAAAGCTCTGTGACTTAATAACAGCTCTTCAAGAGAAGTAACACAACATTCAATATACACTTGGGTTCCCGGGGGAAATGCCCATGTAAAAACTCACCAAGGCACGTGCTTGAGATTACTCCCCTTTACACACTTCACGTCAGTGAAAGTTTGTTTAAAAAAGAACATATTCCCCACAATAAATTTTCAATTTCATAAATGTTGGAATGTGTAAAAAACAAGAGTGCCTTAGAATGGTAGACAAATAAGTTGACAGGAAATACTTGCTGGGTTTGTGATGAAAATTAAATGAGCGATTGTTATAAAGACCTTAGCTCAAGGCCTGGCATTTGATACGACACCAAAACCCAAAGCTGTTGCCGTGCAGTCGATTCTGACTCATAGTGACCCCACAGGACAGAGTACAACTGCCCCATAGGGTTTCCAAAGAGCGGCTGGTGGATTCAAACTGTCAACCTTTTGGTTAGCAGCCGTAGCTCTTAACCACCACACCACCAGGGCTGGCCTTTTTAAGTGCTCAGTAAATAATAAAAACAATAACCACGATTTATCAGGTACTTAGAACATGCCAAGCAATGTGCTAAGCTCAAGAACATCACCTTTCTCACTAAGCCCTAAACACACCTACCCTACCACAAATATCCCCCAGTTGCTGAGGAGACAGGTTCAGAGATGAAAAGCGTACTTGAGTACGATCAAAATAACAGCTAACGTCAATGCACCCCTTACCACGTGCTAAGCACTGTGCTAAACCTCTTGCACGTAGCTCCAATTCACCATCACCATTACCAGCTCCATTTTAGAAAGGAAAATCCAGGCAGAGAGGCTCAGGGACCTTGCTAAAGCATAGAGCTGGGTTGTTTTAACTCTATTCAACACGTGTGTGGCCACACGACATACACACACCCGCGTATATTGCCCTGGGTGCCGAGTGTGCACGCACCCGAGAGCAGCTAACGACCGCACCAGGCACACACGTGTATTCCTGAGCACGTGCTTCCGTAGGTGGTCATGTGTCTGGGAGGTGTGCCCCGGGTATGACATATGTGCGTATGTGCTTACGGGGGTGCAGTTACGGCAGCTACCTGCTTGGATTCTCAGCCCCTCAAGACCCGAGTCCAAATTCCCATCCTGCCACTTATTCTGCCTTTAGACAAATGACTGCCTCTCTCTGAGCGCGTCTGCTCACCTGTGAGTGAAGTATAACTGTAGCTGTCTAACGGTAGCTGTAAAAGCTCAGTTACCGTAAGTGAAGCGGCCAGCTGTGACAGCATTTCCTGTCACCACGCACATAGGTGGATGTTCTGATGGGCACGCGTCCTCGTCTGTGAGTATGAAAGCTGCACCCAAGCCATCCCAATCCCACTTTCAGAAAACCCGCTCTTCACCCAGGCCCTCTCCCACACTGCCCCCAAGGATACGTCCATCACGGCCACCATGCTGCGACACGTGTCAATGCCAAAACCATCCGTCTTCAGATCCGGGTCTGTAGGGAACAGGCTGAGGTCAGACCAGAGGTCCTAGCCGCCCGGGCGCCATGCCTAAACCTGCCCCATGCCTTGACTCTCGTCACTCACGTCGGGTCACGACATTGTTGAGAATCTTCATGAGTTCTGTGGCACTGACCTCCATATCCTGAGAAGAACAGTGGACCTGGGGTGACTAAGAGGGTCTGGGCAGGTCATGAAGGAGGATGGGAACTTTGCGACTGCCACGGTCAAGTTCAGGGGCGGCCCTGGGGAAACCATGGAAGGGT